CAATCACTTTTCATCTGAGTCCTTATAACCTGGAAAAGAAGAGATTAAAGACCATAGGGGAATATTAACCTGTGATTTGAGAGAACAGAACAGTATTAGCTGGTTACAGCTGGTAAAGCTGTCACCGAAGCTAGCTTTTACTATACATCTATACAATCTGTGTAACCTTTAGTTTGTCCTACATCCAACTAATATACTAAAATAAGCTTCCAGCTCCCAGTAATGGCATAGTTTGGTTAGACTAACCCTACCACAAACAGAATTATAAATATTAAACGTAATCCTCGCCTGAGTATATGTTTTTTATTGATTTGAGAGAGAGAGAGAGAGAGAGAGAGACATCAACGGGTTGCCTCGGTATGCACCAGGACCGGGGATCGAACTCACAACCTGGGTATGTGCCCTGATGGAATCAAACCCACAACCTTTTGGTGTACAGGACAATGCTCCAACCAACTGTGCCACCCGACCAGGGCTAAACATTCATTATTTGAAGGTTTTAGAAACTAACCAGAATTGAACAGAAACTGCAACTGGTGAGATTTGGGAACTTGTGGCCTTTTGCCTGAAGCACTCCCTCCTCAATCCACAAACAGCTTAGACAGCCTCACCTGTCTTGAGGTATCAGAGGACAGAGTTCAGGGCTGGTAGAGTAGCAAATATTAGGGGAGAGACTTAAGAGGGAAAGACAGAAGGAATAAACCCAAAAACATGCCTATAAAATTGCTTCCTGCTAAATTATACATATATGGGGAGACCCCGGGGAGCCCTGCAATGAAGCAGCAGCTGGAAGCTAAAGGAATGAGCAGTGGTCTGAGCTGCTGCCCAACATAAGGGAGACCAGGGTCTGGAGTATGAGTTGAGCCAAACCGTCTGCTAGAATAAAAATCACATTTCAGGGGAATATAAAAGAATCCAGAATCTCTAGAATTTATTAGAATATCCAGTGTCCAATAACAAATCACTAAATATAGTAAGAAAAAGGAAATTACTTTCTATACTTAGTAACAAGTTACTAAGTTACTAAATCGAGTAAGAAAAAGGAAAATGTGACCCATACTAAAAAAAAGTACAGTCAACAGAAATCAGCTCTAGGATGATGCAGATAATGCGATTAGCAGTGACTAAGGACCTGTATCCAGACTCTAAAACAACTTAAAAATAAAAATAACCGATTTTTTGTTTGTTCATTACTCCTCATCCCAGGATATTTTTTCCACTGTATTTTAGAGAGAGTGGAAGGGAGTGAGACAGATAGAGAAACATCAATATAAGAGAGACACATCGATTGGTTGCCTCTCGCACATGCCCCGACCAAGCTGGGAACAGAACCTGCAACCCAGCCCTTGACCAGGAATTGAACCTGTGACCCTTCGATGCTCAGGCTGACACTCTATCCATGGAGCCACACTGGCCAGGGCAAAAAAAATAACTCAATTAAAAAGAAGAAGAAGCAAAAGACATTAACAAACACTTCACAACAGAAGATTTACAATGGCCAATAAGTACTTACAAAAGTGCTCAACATCTGTCACCAGGGAAATGCAAGTTAATACTACAATGCAATGTCACTTCACACCCCCTAAAATGGCTCCAAAAAAACACTCTTATGTGGAGCAACCAGAATTCTCACACAATGCTTGACTGTAAATGGTAAACCACTTTGGGAAAAAGTCTGCCAGTTTTTCATAAAGTTTACTATACACTGAGCTGCTCCATTCTCAGATATGTATCCAAATTTCTACAAAAAGGCTTACAGAAAATATTCAAGGCAGCTTTATTCACAATGGCCAAAACTGAGACAATCCCAAAGCCTCCAAACAGGAGAAGGAATAAATGAATTGTGGTAAATTCATACAATGGAACTCCACAACAAAAAGGGATGGACTACTGATACATGGCACAACATGGATAAACCTCACCAACAATACAGTGAGTGAAAGAAGCTGGACACAAATGAGTGCACACTTTACGATTCCATTTATATGGAGTTTAAGATAAGATGAAACAAAGATTTTTTAAAAAAAAATTGGAACATACCAGAACAGAGATGAGTAATAAAAAATATGGTGGATCAAACAGGAGTTCAGACTTGATATGGAAAAGAAATGGAATTGTGCTTGAAGTTTTGAAGCGGGAAACTACAAAGTGGGATTTAGTACTTCTTAGATTAAATTTTACCCTTTAAAAGATACTTTTTGTTGTTGTTGTTGTTGTTAATCCTCACTGGAGGATATTTTTCCATTTATCTTCAGATAGAGTGGGAGGGGGAGGGGGAGAGAGAGAGAGAAACATGAGGTGAGAAAGACACATTGACTGGTTGCCTCCTGCACAACCCCGACCAAGGCCAGGACCGAACTGCAACCAAGGTACATGCCCTTGACCGGAACTGAACCTGAGACTCCTTGGTCTACGGACCAACACTCTAACCCCTGAGCCAAACCTGCCAGGGCTAAAACGTACTTTTAAATAAAAACTTCTTAAGGATGTGTCTAACTTGATTTGCTTTACAGAGCGAGCTGAAATGTGTATGAAAGTTTTTAGAGCACATGAAGATATGAAGGTATAGATATAAGCTTGGTGACAATATAACTTCTTTCAAAGTGGTTCTGATTTCAAGTAAAAGAGCAAGAGAGCCCTGGCTGGCATGGCTCAGTAGTTAGAGTCAGCAGGAGCATGGAAGGGTCTCTGGCTCAATTCCCGGTCAAGGGCACGTACCTGGGTTGCTGGTTTGATCCCTGGCCCTGGTCAGGGCGTGTGCAGGAGGCAACTAATTAATGTCTCTCTCACATAGATGTTTCTCTTTCTCTTTTCTTTTCTTTTTTCTTTCTTTCTTTCTTTCTCTCTCTCTCCTTCCCTCCCTCCCCCCACTCCCCTATTCCTTCCACTCTCTCAAAAAAATCAATGGGAAAAATATCCTCTGGTGAGGCTTAACCAAAAAAAAAAAAAGGAACAAGAGAAAACAGATGTTGGGGGGGGGGGGGCTAAGGTTTACAATGTGAATAATATTAACACTGATTAAATATAGGATTAATAGGTATTAAGGATGTTATATATCTGTTACAATGTTGGACTTGCTTTAAATATGGGGTTTTACTTTGCTATTCGTTTTTTATTCTGGCTACAGTAACTGCCCTATGCCAAATTTTCTGTTAAAATACACTTACGAGGCCCCAGCACGCAGACAGAAACGCCGGGTGGAAACCGGAGCAGGGGAGCTGGCCGCAGAGGAAGGCAATTTGAGACCCTCCAGGGGGCGGAGATGAAACTCCAGGTTAAGCCTGGCGTCCCGTCTGGGAGAGGGTACGGAGCTCAAGCCCCCTGGAGAACAGAGAAGCCCTGGCCAGTCACCTGAGTTGGGGCTGGGGGCTGGCACGGGGTCCTGGTCCCTGATCCGGGGATCGGAGTTCCCGGGCTGATTTCCGGACCCATTAAGGCACCTTCTCCTCCGGATTTGCTGCCTGGGGATTTAGTAAAATGCGCTTTTTGCCTGGTTTCTCTGCGAGAGGAGAGACTCCAAGACTTAAATTGCGTTGCACACTGGTGTGCTGAGCTCCAAACCAGCGAGAAGAGAAAGCGGACACAGTAAAGCCAGAGGGAAACGCAATCTCACCAGTGCTCTGGGAATGGTCAAAGGCCCTGGGAAACAGGTAGCTCAGAGGACCATGCCCTGGCCCGCCCCAACTTGCAGCATAGCTGAGGCTCTTTGGGCGTCCTGCCCCTTCCTTGTAGAGGGAATAAATGTTGACTGCTTTATCTCCCCCTGGCAAAAGGGTTTGTCATGAGCCGGATCTTGTTTGTTAGCAAAGCTGAGGAAATATAGTCTCTTATGGTGGAGCTCCCAGCTACGCAATTACCCATACATAAACTCAAAGTCCACTCCAACCTGAGTATCTGGAAGTCTTAGCTGTAACAATAGTGCTTGTCCTTTTACACGGATCTGGGGCAGAAAGTCGGAACAGGCAGCTTTTCACTTCCAGGGTGATAACAAAGCCAGGTCTGGAAGCAAGGGAGTACGACTGCCCCCAGGGCTGCTAGTCTGAAAGGCAGCAGATTCACAGACCCTACGGATTATCAGAGGCCCCAGAAGTCATTAAGGAGGGAATCTGCTGTCAGCATCCTTGGCAAGCTATGCACCTGGGTTTGAACTCTCCAGCCCAGAAGTTGTTGGAAGGTCTTTTCATGAGAAGGTGATTTCTTGTATTAGACCTAAATGGCACCCACAACCAAACAAGTGTTACCATGAAGTACCTCCTCCCATATTGGTGCTTCTCTTTCCCACTTAAAAAATAATTCTCCCTGATGTAGAAACTGGAAGCAATAATAACTGTTAGTATTATGGCTAGCATTTATATAACACTTACTTTGTACCAGATCCTCCCTGAACTGTTCAATAATCCCAATAATAGCTATCCCACGCAGGTATTGTTATTAGCATTATCCTCATTTGACAGATGAAGAAACTGAAGCATTGAAAGTTAAATAACTTGCCCAAAGTCATGCAGCTCTCAAGATTCTGACTGAATCCAAACAGTCTGTTTCCAGGGTCCAGATTTAAGAAAACAGACAAGTGAGGGCAGACACAGCAGACGACTGAGAAATAGGACACATGGGGTTTCATCTTGGGCCTTGCTTGTCATATATCTTGGTAAAATATAGGGGCTGGATGGAATCATTATTGAATAACAGATTTTACTTTCTCTTTACTATGTGATAAAACAGCACCATCTAATCCAAGCAATTTTTGTGCTGAATATGCTTTTTAAAAGACCTGTACAAATTGTCCATTGCAAATTTGGCAAATGTGAGTTTCAGCCTTGCTGATATCCTCCACATTTGTCCATACCACTTCCTCAGACTTGGCCCTGGGCCTCCCATCTTTTGCAGGTGGCCATCAGTGATGTGGAAGCTGGCTTGGTTAAAAATAAATAAATAAATACATTTACTATGGGGGGGAGGGGGGAGTTAATGATAATAAAATAAATTCCAGCATGCATTACCTTGTCCTGAAGGGTTTGCTGCCATCTTCCTATTTTCTTCTTCAACTATGTTCACTGGGCAACTGGTCAGCACTTTACAATCACCTGTAAAAAAAATGTGTACATGCATACAAAATGCACCATACTTCAATTACAAATTAAAAGTTTGTCAGGAACAGCTAGCCTTCCTACAATGACACATTTACAGTTTCTTCATCTCTTCAGAAACATACATCTGAAAAGCACACAGACTTACATCACAAACTCTGCAAGCTCAAGTTTTTAATTAGAGCGTGACGGTTAAATCTTTATTCTTGCAGATGTTGATGCCAACATTTAGCATTACTGTCTTTAATGTATCATTAGGTTGTTTACCAAATACTACCAAATTGATAACATCAATACGATCACAGTGTTAGGAAGAAAAATCACTCACCTACGGGGACTCTCCATTCACTTAAAAAACGTACCCAGAAACAACTGTGTACACTGAAAGATAAAAAGGAAAACGAAGGGAGATCACAAATAAGCAACACCCTACTCCTGCCCTCTAGGGACATATAATCGGTGGGAAAATATAGTCTCATTCAAGCAACCAAACTAAAAAAGTTTAGCAAATGCGCTTTTTTAAAGGCGTAAACTGCCCTGGGAGCAGAGGGGAAACTGGTCTATGGGTGTGATGAGAGATGCCGTCAGGGGACCCCGGGAAAGAACAAGGGCTAGCAAACAGATGTCGGTTTTGAACAAATATGGTTAGGTGTCCCCTGTGGCTGAAGCACAGGGCTAGCGAAGCCCGGTTAAGAGGGCAGATCTGGGGCCGGGGAACGTCAGCCCGGGATGTGACAGGGCTGCACCTGCACCTCGGCAGGGTCCCTGCAAGCAGGCGTGGACGGCAGGCTGGGCGGGGGCTGCGGCCGGGACCGACAGGAGGAGTGAGAAACTTTGGGAGGGAGGAAAGCGGAGAGGCCACTGCTGGGGCAACAGAGACAACGGCAGCAGGTCGGCACCGGAGCCACACACCTCCATCCCCCGGCGCCGCCAAGCGGCCCTACTTACCGGGGACGCGGGTGCGCCAGGGACGGCCTCCCCGTCGGATCGCGCTCTCCAAGGGGGCGCGACCACTTCAGGACCGGCAAACCGAGCGCAACGTGCCGCTCTCCAACGTTCCCGCCCCCGCTGCACTTCCGCCTCCTGGTGACGTCACCCGAGGGAGCGGAAGTCCCGCCTCCCACCCAGACCCAACAGCCGCTGCCCACGACGATTCGTACTTTTAACTGCCGCCTCAGCGCAGACGCCGCTTTTCTTCCGAAAACTGACAGCCGAAGAGGCTCATGGGAGATGCAGGCTGCACGTTGGGGGACCCGGCCCAGGTGGGGCGGGTGCAATGACGTATCCTGATGGCTCAGCTAGGTAGGGGCGGGGCGGAGACCTACTGGGTCCCTAGCACCTTCCAGTGTCACCTTCCGTCGAGGTCTCTAGCTGGAGAAGAGCCACCACCAGGCCGCCCCGCGACGGTGTGAATCCGCCTCGACGGGGACTGAGACCCAGCTGCTGCCGGGACTCGGAAACACCTATCTCGGGTGGCAGGTGCACACACACAAATCCCAGGACTATTTTTCTTTTATGTCGTTTGCATAATTATACACATAAGAAAAGAACTAAGCATGCAGAAGTGTTTAGTGCGGTTTAATAATCGATATGGCCGTGCCACATCTCTAAGTCGATTCTAGTGGAATCTCACCTGGTGCCTGGTTCCGGCACACTAGATCTACACATTGACGTTAAAAGCTAACCTTATATTGATGTGTGTGGCCTGTTCGGTGGTCGTTAACTCGTTATGCACCTTTTCCAGAATATGAACATATGTTCTTAATAATCGATGTTTTCTCAATAGTAAATGTTTATGATGTACTATTGTGTTGTGCAGGGATCCGTGACTAAAGCAATAACGCTACCAAGCATTTATTGAGTGCCTTCTGCGTGCCAGGTGCTTCCTGTGCGTCAGCTCCAGGCTGGCACCCTGCTCTGGATGGGACTAAGAAATGTTGAGTTACTTACCCTATGTTAAGCAGCCAGCGGGTTCAAGGGGCTAAAGATCTACCAGATACTAAGGCCCAGGTTCTTAAATCGCACACATCACTTCTGCTCTGGAGGAAGGAATTTCTTTGAGACCAGTTCTTGCTGACTAATCTAGGTATACAATGTAACACATGAGCATTTTTGTAGTTGGCCAGGATCCCTTTTCAGTTGAAAACGTTTTGATTCCTAGCGTGACTAAAAAAAGATGGCCAAGCTACATATGGTGATAGAACCTTAGGAGAACCTTTTGCTTGTAGGTTTGCCTGACTAGACGATACAGAAACTACGGGATAAGAAAGCTCCAAACTAAGTCCCAAATGGACATTCTGAACAAAACTTATTTAAGGAGAAAGAGGAAAAAATCTACCCCTAGAACATTTTGCAATTTCCTGGCAAGTTAAGCCTCCCGAGGTTGGGAGAACATTATTAGATGAAAGATAAATTAACTTGCTGCTAATCATTTTGTCCTTTACTTGGTGGGGTTAACCCTTGAACCCCTCTGTCTTCTTGAGAGATTTTGTAACTTTTGCCTCAAGAATTTTAACATGCCCTGGCTGGTTTGGCTCAGCGGTTAGAGCGTTGGCCTGCGGTCCAGAGAGACCCAGGTTTAGTTCCCACTAAGGGCATGTACTTCGGTTGCGGTTAGTCCCTGGCCCTGGTTGGGTCCTGCGGATGGCAGCCACTCTATGTGTTCCTTTCACGTTGATGTTTCTCTCTTTCTTCCTCTCCCTCCTGCTCTATCTGAATAAAAAATGGAAAAATGTCCTCGGGTGAGGATAAAATTTTTTTAAAAAGGAATTTTAACATACTGGTAGGTCAGTTACTTGAGTTCAAATTCCAGCTCTGACATTTAATGATTGTGAGCCCTTGTAAATTATGGGTGCTTTAGTCCTATCATCTGTAAAAGGAAAATAAAAATAAATGTGACCACCTCATACCCATTTGATGGGTACTATTTTTAAAAAGCAGAAAATAACAAGTATTGATGAGGATGTGGAAAAAATGGAATCCTCGTGCACCATTGGTGGAATGTAAGATGGTACAGCTACTGTGGAAAACAGTATGGAGGTTACTCTAAAAATCAAAAATAGAATTATCATATGATCCAGCAATTCCACTTCTGGGTATATACCCAAAAGAATTGAAAGCAGGGCCTTGACCCAACCAGTGTGACTCAGTGGTTGAGCCTCATCCCGTGGACCAAGAGGTCACTGGTTCGATTCCCAGGCAGGGCAGATGCCCAGGTTTTGAGCTCATTCCCCAGTGGGGGATGTGCAGGAGGCAGCCATTGATGTTTTTCTCTTACATCGATGTTTCTGTCTCTCTCTCCCTCTCCTTACCTCTCTCTCTGAAAATCAATAAAAACATATTTTTAAAAAAGAAAGGGCCTTGAAGAGATATTTGTACACCCATGTTCATAGTAGCAATATTCACACCACCTAAGGGATGGAAACAACCCAAGTGTTCATTGACAAATAGCTAAACAAAATGTTACACACACACACAAAATAAAATATTATTCAGCCTTAAAAAAGGACATTCTGACATGCTATCGCATGCATGAACCTTGAGGACATTATGCTAAGTGACATTGTCACAAAAAGACATACTGTGTGTGATATTGTGATTTATAAGAAATGTATAGTTCTCATATGTATTTGTCTTCACCACAATTATTATTTTTTTAATCCTCGCCCAAGGCTATTCTTTCATTTATCTTCAGATAAAGTGGGAAGGAGGGAAGGGAAGAGGGCGAGAGAGAGAGAAACATTGATTGGCTGCCTCCCGCGCAACCCCAACCAGAGCCGAGGACAAAACTCAACCCACGTACGTGCCCTTGACCAGAATTGAACCCAGGACTCCCTGGTCCGCAGGCCAAATCACTGAGCCAAATCGGCCAGGGCTTCACCACAATTCTTGACTAACAGCTCAGGAATCTCTGGGATTTCCCAAGCCTTGAGAGTGGTAAAGGGGTAAAGGTGTCTTTTGTTTTGTTCATGAGATAGCTTTGGAAAGCACCTAATGGTAGGGACTAGTTGCCAGTAGAGCCAACCAAGTGATTATAGGGTGGGAACATTCTTTCCCACCCCTGACCTCCTGGGATAGAAAAGGAGCTAGAGATTGAATTCAGTCACCAGCGGCCAATGATTTAATCAATTGTGCTTATGTAATGAAGCCTTTATAAAAACCTTAAAGAGGGTGTTGGGAGAGCTTCCAAGTTAGGAAGCCAGAAGTTTTCCATGTGCCACAGCGAGGGCCCCAAACTCCATGAGGACAGACGCTCCTTTGTTTGGAACCTCGCCCTACGTATCTCTTCATCTGGCTGCTGATTTGTATTCTTTAATATCCTTTGTAATAAATCAGTAGTCTAATGAGTAAACAGATTTTTCCTGAGCTCTGTGAGCCATTCTAGAAAATGAATTGAACCCAAGGGGGGGTCGTTGGAACCTCTAATCTGTAGCCAGTCAGCCAGAAGGACAGGTAACCTGGGCTTGTGTCTGGCATCTGAAGTGTGTGTGTTGTGGGGTGGGAGGGTCTTGTAGGACTGATCCCTTAACCTGTAGAATCTGATGCTGTCTCCAGGTAGATAGTGTCAGAATTGAATTGAATTCTTCGATACCCTGCTGGTGTATGAGAATTGCTTGTTGGTACGGGGGACCCCCCCAACACACACACACTTTGGAATTGGGTCCAGAAACTGTTTACTGTGTGCTTCCATTCATATGAAGTACTTAGAGTAGTCAAAATCTTAAAGACAGAAAGCAGATTGGTGGTTGCCAGAGGACAGGGGAGGGGGGAGGGAGGAAAATCGATCATTGTTTAATTGGTATAAAGTTTCAGTTTTACAAAATGAAAAGAGTTCTGGGGATAGATGGTGGTGATAGCAGCAACTATGAAAGATCTATGTTTTACTAGATGTCTTGGTGCTTGGTCAGTAGGTCATAGATCCTACATATCTAGTTGAGGAAAGTCCAGGATAAAAGGAATGCATGTTACAGTCCTGTGGCTCTGTTAAATAATAAGGAAGTTTGAGGTAGTAGTGTGTGAATTGCTTCATCCTAAAGCCATTATGAATATTATAGACCTTCAATATCAAAGTAGAGTTGATACTAGTCCCCAGTTTCCAATTGAAGTCACCCTAATTCTCTCTTGCTATTCTGTGATAAAATATATATGGGAAATTCATGAGGCTAGACAGGCTTTAAAATCAGGTGTGTAGAGCCCTGGCCAGGTGGCTCAGTTGGTTGGAGTATCATCCTGTGCACCAAAAGGTTGCGGGTTCTATTCCCAGTCAGGGCACATACCTAGGGTGCGGGTTTAGTCTCTGATCAGGGTGCCCACAGGAGGCAACCGATTGATGTTTCTCACACATAGATGTTTCTCTCTCTCTCTTTCTCTCTCTCTCTCTGTCTCTCTCTCCCCCTCCCCCTCCCTCTCTCCCTTCCTCCTGCCCTCCCTTTCCCCCTTCCTCTCTATCTAGAAATCAATTTTAAAAAATCAAGTGTGTAGAAATTTGAGACAATTACTGTATTAGTTACCTATTGCTTGCAACAAATTACCCCAAAACTCCTGTTTATTATTGTTTTTATTTTTAAGATTTTAAAAAATTAATTAATTTTGTTACAGATATTTCTCCTTTTTCATTCATTGACACCCTCCTCCTGATCCTGCCCCCCTGCCCCTGCCTCACAGCATTGTTGTCTGAGTCCATTGGTTATGCTTATATGCATAAATTCTTTGGTTTATCTCTTCCCTCTCCCCCACCCCCCTCCTCTGAGCTTTGTCAGTCTAAACCTTACTTCTGTGTCTCGGGGTCTTTCTTGTTCATCAGCTTATTTTGTTCATTATATTCCACTAATAAGTGAGATCATGTGATACTTGTCTTTTCTCTGACTGGCTTATTTTGCTTAGCATAATACTCTCCAGGTCCCTCCATGTCGTTTCAAAGGATAAGAGATCTTTCTTTTCTTTTCTTTTTTCTTTTTTTTGGTACAGA